CCAGCCTATCTTTTGGATTTTGAACCATGCAAATGTATTACCTTTTCAGGAATTGAATTTTAAAAATAATTCAGGGAAGAAAAACTTTAATGGAAAAGTGATGATTTTTGAGTTCTTTGTGGTAGACAGAGTGAATATGGTAGTAAAATTAATAATCGTTGCCATTAGTATTTATTGGAATTCCTATCACATGCCCGGCACTATGGGAAGCACAGAACTGGGCTTATCTCACTGAATGTCCTTGACAATGCAGGTCCCCATTTTTCAGAAGAACCATTTGCCCAAGATGCCATTTAGAAAGTTAGAGAGCTGGAATTTGAGGACTAGTCTGCCTCATTCTATAACCTGGGCTTTTAATCACTCTTTCTACTGCCATGGGACAAGAATACACACAGGAGGCTACGGGGACAAAGGAAATAGGAGGGATCAGAGAGAGCAGGGCAGAATAAAGGCTGACTCTTGAACGTCTTCGATTCTGCAGATCCAAGCCCCAGAGCTACTCAGCTGTGAGTACGTGTTGTTCTTCAAGGAAGGGAAGAATGACCTGGCAGGGGATGGAGAGGCTGCCAGAGCTGCCACGGCCACCACAGGCCCAGGAACCGAGGCTATTTCACAGGGTGGGGCTGTGTGTCCACAGGATGACCCCAGCTGGGGCCTCATGGGTGGGCTGCCCTTTGAAAACAGGGCTGCTCCAAACTGGGGGTGATACTGTCACCCGAGGGGCCCCCAGGGCAGAGCATCAAACCAAAGAGGTTTATCCTTGAACTTTCTGATCTCATGGGATCTGCCTGGCTGAGCTTTGCACTGGCTGGAGACCCTTTCCGTCCTCCCAGCCAGTCCTTTTGGAATGGGAATATCTGTCCTATGCCTGTCCCAACGCTGCATTTTGGAAGCACATAACGTGTCTGCTTTCACAGGTTCACAGATGGAGAGAAATCTTGCCTCAGAATGAGTCATACCGCGAGTCTCACTCATACCTGATTTAGATGATATTTAGATGAGACTTTAGACTTTAGTGTTGATGCTGAGCTCTTAGGGTAGAATCAATGAATTGCATGTGAGAAGGATGTACATTTAGGAGGAGGCCAGGGGTGGAACGCTATAAACTGAATTTTTTCCCTGCAGAATTCAGGTGTTGCAGCTCTAACCCCCGATGTGGCTATATTTGGAGATAAGGCCATTAGTAGGTAATTAAGGTTAAATAAGTCATCAGGGTGGAGGTTTAATCTGATAGGACCGTGGACTTATAAGAAGAAGAAGACCTTCTCTCCCACACCTTCCTCCCTCCAGCCATGTGAAGACACAGGCAAAAGGCCTGGAAGGGAGCTCTCCCAGGGGCTGGACCCAAACTGGCTGGCACCCTGATCTTCCAGAACTTTGAGAAATGGATTCTTGTTGTTTAAGCTGTCTTATACGTGGTATTTTGCTATGGCAGCCTGAGCTAAGACGGGGGGGATGATGGCACATCTAATAATGGCATTGTCCTCACACCTGTCTTGTTCCAGTCCTTCCCTGAATGCTCCTGGAACCGTTCCTGAGTGGGCCGTCTTGTTTTGTCAAAGTATCCGTAGGTCTTATGCCAACCCAGTCCTCTGCTCCCAACTGGAAATATCCCACTTAGTGTCACCCCAGAGCATTTGTTAACAAAAATTCCATACATTCAACTCTTTTTCATCTGTTTTATTAGCATCAATATATACAAAGTGGAAAATGACTTAATTTCATTTTTCTAGCTTAGAAAGTTTGCTTTTTATTCTGTTTGGCAATGAAATGAAAACAAAAATTTCCCAAGAGATAAGCCTACCTTGGAGGGTGCCGAACGACTCACCGATATTGGAACTCAAGTGACCCATCACACCTTGTCAAGGACATAGGACAGTCACGCCCTTTGCATTTACCTCCAAGGAAAGGGCATTTTTGTCTGCACCTCACGTCTCAGCCTATATCCAGCCCAGGTAATTTGCCAAATCACCTCCTCTTTTACAACCGTGCTGATGATGTAACCATCTGGCTTCTTTCTGGGCTGTTTGGCATTTTTCAAAGCTCTCAGCCTGAGGTTTTGTGGGCTCTCCAGGGAGCTAGCATCAGAGGGTCATTGTTAAAACACATCTATGAAACTAAGTAAAGATGGCCGTCAAGTAGTGATCAGAATACTTGTTAGCTAAACAATTCTACCAAAAAAAAAAAAAAAAGGCTAAAAGCTGAGCTCCAAGCTGCAGAGGGTCAAGTGTGTGCATTTTTAAAGCACAGGGTGGTAGCTGGCAGATACAGCTTATATGAATTAGCATGTAATACACGCCATCACATGCATTCGCTGAGCTCGCGATCTCTGTAAACGTATTTCCCACTGTTTTAAAAACAGAGTGGCTTGTAGGAAGGCTCAGTTCATTCTCGAGTTTCTCAAGAGTATATCCTGTTCAAAAATATTTAATCCCAATGAGTTTTAATGTTGATCTTATAAAAACACACATATATGAACTGTAATGAGATGCCTTGCACGTTTTTTGGCAATAGTATTATTATCATTTGTTTTTACTTTTACATTACAAATACACATTCAGATATTTAAAAAAGAAAAATAGACATCAACCTGTCTTTTCAATCACACTGTACATTGCTGAACTCACATGATCCATCTCTAGGCTAAAACAAACTTTTAAAACATGGTTACAGGTGCCGAACTACCGAGACAGAACTAAGACATTGGTCTCCTAAAGGAAAAAAAAAAAAAAGACTGTTTCTATCTGTCCAATAGCCAAGAAGAATACCTGGGCCATGGCCTGGCCAGTTTTAGGGAGCAGGTTCAGAATAAAGATATCTGTTTTGTCAGTCTTTATAAAAGGCAAATGTTTAGTTTTCATGTTCCCATGCTATGTTCTAAAACCGAGTATCATTAATACAATTCTTCATTCCAGATGCCCCAGGGTTAGGGTTAGAATTAGCCTTTCATATCAAATAGATATGAAAGCAAGGATTGGATTCTGACTTTTTTTTTTAAAGGGTTACATTATTTGTGTGTGTGTGTGTGTGTGTGTGTGTGTGTGTTTTTCCCTAAACAAGATATTGTTCACTAAGGGCTTGGAACTCTTCTCTGGTTTTTGCATTAAACGGGGCTGGGCTTTGGGTCCTGGAAACAGCTCTCACCTATGTTTTGCCATGTACCACACATGCAGGACTCTGTTCTGGAAGAAAGAAAATATTATGGCCTCGGACCCCCAGGATTGAAGTGGGACCTCCTGCTGGGAACCAACATCCCTGTCTTCCTCAAGATGTTTCCAAAGCAACTACTAATATGGGGACTCCTAGCCATTCTCCCTG